CATGAAAGGTGCTTCCCTTATGCCTTTGAAAAGTGTGACAGTTTGGTATGCTGTACGCCGCAGAAATTGCCATTTACTTCATGGCAGATCGCAGATTGCAGATGCGTAGGTGTTATGGTTGCTTCGTCCCACATTGTTGTGCATGGTCATGCAGCTCAGACAGCAATCTTCACTTGTAAGCAGAATCTATGAGTTCTTTATGGCTTTCTGTGGGAGAATTAGATTGCAATAATTGGTTTACACTGATCTGAGGATAGATTTAGCTCATTTAAAAAGGTTAATTGTGTTATAATGTCTGGAGCAGAACCCTGAAATGTAGTTATTGGTAATCTCTGATCTGCTGCTATCTTGTATTAAGCAACTGAAACTACTCACTCATCTGCTCTGACTCACGCTGACAGGGATACATAATAAACTGATGCTCACCAGGGTTAAGCTCTAATTTTTGTCCCTGTGTCAAGTGCGCAGTTTTGGGAGAAATCCCAGCTCGGCAAATCCTATGTTTAAAAATGGGCCCCCCCCCCCTCCTTATTTCTGGTCTGGGTTAGGGGATGGCATGGATTGAGAGTTTGCCTGAGTAATCTAGGAAGATCGTACGAGGTTGCCAGTTTCCTAGGTGGGCTAGTGGGAAGCCTTTCTCAGGTCACCAACACCATGGTCAATGTTTAAACATAAAGGCTAAAAAGTAAAACATCTCTTCACCTCACCTCTATGCCCTCACACTCCCTAAAGCCACATCCATGACACTCAATACATTTCACGCCACCCCAATGTCCTCTCATGCCCTATATCAGCTACCCATCTCCCTTGGCCCCTCATTCTCCCTGTGCCACCCTATGCCCATTTACTCGGCCGCTTAGCTTATTATTGCCACAATGTCACCCTAAGCTCATCTACGCACCCTCCAAAGCCCTTTATAACTCCTGTGCCCACCTACCAGTCTACTATTGCCCATCATACCCTCTGTGCCACCCTATGACATTAACAACCACATGGCCCTTTATAGCCCCTTGTAAACTCTTGCCAACTCCTACCCTTCTACCCACAACCTTTTGCTCTTCCCTTTCTATGCAAACTCACCTAGTATCTGCGATAGGTAAATCTCAGTAGGGTTGCTGACTGTATATTGCTGATATCATTACTGGAATAAAGACACATTAATAACAAAAAAAGTCAACACACTGAATATACTTCACCTAATCCCTCATGAAAGCAAATATTTCACTTAAGTGTTGAATTCCTTGTGCTAATAAACATTTCCATTCAAAAGCAGGTTGGAGCTGTCCTTCAAAATGTTCTCTTGATGGGCATCCCATTGTGAAAATGATAGATTGTGAAATCAGGCCTGCAACACAAATCTAATTAATGGTTTTATGTGAACAGGCATTTTGAAATATCTGACAGTGTTATTTTCTAACTCTACACATGATTTTTGGTCAGTTTCTTGTAAACATTGTTAGTCTCAAAGAGTTAAATGCTTTTTTTAATGCACAAACATTTTTACAATTTAATAAGGGTCCCTTGGCTTTACCAAATGTGACCCACAACCAGATGCAAAATAGCACTTTACATCTCCAAAAGAGGGGGAAATAGAAAACTCTCCTCCAGTTACACACCCAACCCCCACACTCCCGACATCTCACCTATTCCAACTCATACAGCCTACTGCCCTCTACCCACATCCCATAGCCCCTCATACCCCATGCCAACATATTGCCTATTTCATCCAATACTTTATCCTTCTCAAAGTGTTAACTGTTCACTATACCTATGTGTATAGGAGGAAATGAGCATTTTTGTTACTTAAAGTTTATTGCAATATGCACTCTATTGAAAAAAGCATTCTCATTCATATAAAAAAACTTGTTTACAAGACATCATTTGTTGACACTTTGGAACACTGCTTGATGGGCCTTCACAAGTTCGACGGTTCCACTAGGTTTAGGTACATTTTATGCACAATCTTTGCATTGGTTAGCAGTCCCATTGAACACCCAATTTCCATGCCAAAAGAATTCCTCACCTCCACCAGGAAGGAACAGGTCATCTCTCCAAAGGGGTACACTTACTTTCCAAAAGAAATACATTGAGAACAGGCCTGTTCTTACTTGATCTAAGTTCTGCAAGTCTTGGTTCCAGAAATCACGGACTCTAAAACCTGATTCGAGTTGAGGTAGGTTGTCATTCAACTTGTCAGCCACCTTCAGGAACTGAGCATGTGATACCTATGGTCACTCCTCAATCCTGTGCTCATGTAAATGGGAAATGCCATGTGCTGGTTTGCACTTGCAAGTCCCAAATTCTTCTGGAAATTTTGTTGCCATGGACATGTTCTCCATCATGGTCATTGAATCATTATTTTTAAGTTGGGATGGGGCTGGATTGATTCTTGTTAGGCACAAGAATCAGAAGGAAGTTGAGGGCTGATGGTTTTTTGGAATTCAGAATACAAATAGATCAGCCAGGATTTGATTTGAATGATGGAGTAGGCTTCATGGGCCAAATAGCCTACTTCTCCTAATTCATGTGTTTGTACACGTGTCTCTTCACATGGCAAAAACAAGTTTAGGTTTCAGGCTGTTCTGTAGTATTTATTTCCTTGGTGATTACAACAGATTATTTTTCACCCTTTCCCAAGGAAAAGGCTACAAAACTTTGAAAGAGCATCTCAATTAATTATCTGTGATCTTGCTCAATTTCAACATGCGTGCATGTGTGACAGGTATGCAATGACAATACATCTACCATCCTAGCCCTGTAGTTTCAAATAGATTGTAATTTGCTTTTGAAATCATCGAGTTAGCCCCTCTGAGAATTTTAGCCATGATACAATCAATATAACTCTCATATAGAAGAATGTCTGTTCCTCTGAATTGCTTATTATTTATAAACAGGTCAGGCACCTTCTTTCCATTAGTTCTTCTAATTCCCCAGGTCTGGAGTGTCCAATGAAACAATATAAAATGTCATCAGTTCTATAAAACCCAGGTCATCTATGTTTCTTTAACCACTTTCTCAACTTGCTGTGTCACCTTCAACAATTTCTGCACATATTCTGTCAGTGGTCCCTTGTCTTGCACCCCTTTTAAGAAATGTTCCTTTATTTTGCCTTTCCTTGTTCTTCTGACTGAAATGTATCACTTCACATGAGATCTCAAGAAAATAGGCAGGAGAAGGAGTTGACTATTTGCCTCTTTAATGCTATTCAATAGTCAGTGCTGGTTGATCTGGCCTTGATGTACTTTCCTGCCCCTCAATTCATACTTCAATCTATTAAATGTCATCTGGCATCCAATACTGCATGAGCACAATTTCCCTCCTTTGTTACCTGTAGGGTTGACTATTTCAAATTTATTCATGACATCTTTCCACAATCTACCATCTGCAAATTCTGGGAAATCTCATTGCTATTGTTAGATAAGGACCATGGAGAATCACTAATTAATTTCCTTGTGCAGCTCATTGAGTAGGAGTTCCCTAGGTAACAGATCCGGAACTCATCACCTAAGCCTTTTGTAAAACAGATCCAGGGATGGGTCTGCAGAACTGTATATCCCTGGCTGGGACTAGTCTGTGTATGGGTCAGCCATATGGCTTATCAGCCATGGGTCATCAGCCATGAGTGGTCAGTCTATTTTGGTGTTCAACAATAACTGATGTTGCTTACCATTTGGATTTCCTGAGTTATTACAGTCTGAAAAAGTTAATCCTGTGAAGTGTTCCAAGCACCACCCACCATGCTGATGTCATAAGGACGTGGGGGGAATAGTTTAGGATCCACTAATTATCCAAGTAACGCCCCGTAGTCCAACGTTTCGTGAAGGCACCAAATAAATAAAAGTGTCACTTTCTTCTGTAATATATTGCAACTCGAGGGCTAATTTTTACTATTGCAAGTCAGCATTGTAAATTTGAAAATTACAGGCATGTTCATACTCCCCAACACTTGTGGCAGGGTGAATGCAGTGTGTTTCATCTAGAAGGTGCACTGCAGCAATTTGTCAAGGCATCTTCAACAGTGCTTTGTAAACTGCAACATCTACCACCCAGAAGGACATTGAGAAGAGGAGCTTGGCAATGTCATCAGTGCCAACTTACTCTTCAAATCCTTACTTGGAAATATATTGCTGCTCCTTCATTGTCCGAGAGTCAAAACCCTCAAACACCTTGTCTAGCAACGCTGTCAGAATACCTTCACCAAACAAAACTGCAGCAATTCAAGAAGGCTGTTCACTGCTATCTGCTCAAGGGCTATTTAGCATTAACATTACAAGCTGGCCTTGTCAGTCAGGATTTACTGAATATGTAGATGAACCTCTGGGGTAAACTGTGACCTCAGCAGTAATGTGATATTATTCTCCTGGGAGATTGAAACCTGAACAGCACGGAGCGAAATTACCATCATGCGCAGGCTGTTTTAACAGTATCAGTCCAGTCTGGCCTGAGCTTGTATGCACACACAAGGAACCTACATTACAACATGATCAAACAAATGATGCCCACATCCTGTGAATGTATGATGAAAACATTTGAAGAGGAATTGGGTCAATACTAGAACACAATAATTTTGCAGGGCTACGGAGGGAAGAAAACGAATGAGACTCATCAGACAGTTCTTTTAAAATGTTGATACAAGCACAATGAGCTCAAAGATTCTTCTTATTTAATGATTTAATGATTTCAACATCCATTTTTTCACATATCAGTGTCCAATTTCCCTCACTATCCATGCTGCACATCGTCGCTCTGATTAAAGATTAAAAATGACAAAACTAAATGTTAGAGATGCTCAGAAACTCTGGCAGTATTGGTAAAAAGAGAGATGGCTGTTCCAAACATAACATTTTATCACCCCTATTCTCTACGCCTGGCAATTAATTATTTGTGAAACCCAGGTGGCTTTTTTTGCAGTTTCTAAACTAGGTGCTGACTCTGATGAAATAATGCAAGTTTGGTTAATTGTTTGGTTTTCTATCACATGACACACTTCCTTTCTGATTAGAGAAGAGATTGTTATCAAGTGCGCATTTGACATTTTCTGAAAATGGAGAATGTATTCTGTCTTATTATATGTCTGTTTCTCAGTGCAACTGGTAAGTTTCCAAATTTACTTTGCTTAAAAAACTTAAGATATTCTGAAGGTAAAGAAAGAGACATTGTTTAGCTGTATTGATGGTCAGTTTAACTTTGATCTGATCAAACCTGCATTCAGGTCTGAGCAACCTCTGCTGCACTGTAGACTTCAGTTGCACCAATAACCTCCGTTAATAAAGTGAACAAAAATGCATTTTGCAACTGACTGACTAGACAACATAATCAAGATACGTTGTCCTAATATTTTTCTCAGCACTTTACTGGGTAACAAACGGTTTCAGGTGAAATAATTCAGATGGTGGACTTCAGAGATAAAATAGAGAAAATGTTGGAAATGCTCAACAGGTCTGGCAGCATCTGAGGAGAGAGCTTTGCCTTTGTTCCTGTCTCCAAAGAGGCTGCCAGCCTGCTGACTATCTCCTACATTTTCTGTTGGTGTTGTATTGAGATTCTGTTTGTAGCAAACAGATTAGCCATTGTTCTGATAGCATTTGCCTACGTAGAGAGTTGGGGAGACAATTTCGCTACAAGAAGGATTAGCTTTGGATGTAAAGTTCAATATTTTAAAGTTTTACTTTTAAACAAGTGGTCACTATGTGATTTGCACAGACGATGGCGTTTTAAGTTAATTGTAACCAATTGATTAGAATTAGTGACTCCATTAGAATTCTTTGTTTTGTTATTAAGTGGCCAGTTTTATTAAAGGGCTGATAGCCATATGTCCATTGCCAACTGTGTTGAGTTCCATTTTAGGAGATTCCTTCGCACTTGATACAAATGCAATACGCCAACTTCTGTGAAAAGCCACAGTTTATTTAAGCAAGTACAAGCTTTGGAGGATCACTTAACAGTCTTCGCAGGGCTTGCGGAGCTGTGTCAAGCGATGCTCTCTGTAAGGGAACCGTCCTCCCTTTATATAGGTTTTTACAGCACAGTCAGACATGCATACAAGATACAATTCTTTTCTCCCCCATAATCACGTAACTTAATCATCTAACAGTAAAACAAAGGTTAGCTGCCCAAAAACAATGTGTAAGACGAGGTAGTTCCTTATCCTTTTAGCCTTA